TTTTTTTTTTTTTTTTTTTGGTATCGAAGATCGAACTCAGGACCTTGTGCTTGTGAGGCAGGTGGCGGCACCACTGAGCTAAGTCCCTGGCCGCTGCAGAATTTATCATAGGTGATGTAAATGTTCTGATTTCGCGTGGTGATGATTTTTGTTGTGGTTTTAGAAATTGTTGCTGTGTGTTAGCAAAGTCAAAGTTGATATGGGTTGAAAAATAGGTCACCAAATGGGACTTTAAAAACTGTATTATATTAAATAAGTTGGCTTTATTTATTTATGAATTAGATCAAAAAAGTTTCAGAAATAGCCACATTTTGGAGCAAAATGTATCAGCACTTGGAAGTTTCATGACCAAATCCCACAGCCCCAAAGATGCAGTAAATGACGCCAGCTCTGACATGGTGATCCTGTGTTCAGTTTTGGTTTGGATGGGACTGAACACATTCTCTTTTAGATGGCACTGGAAGTAAGTCGAGCATAGATACATGAGAGTCCCAGATAGAAGCGACTGAGCACGATCATGGGGGCAGAGATACCGACATGGTATTGAGTCCCTGGCTATAAGAAGTGGCCGTTCTTAGGCCTCCCTAGGCTGATTTTGAATCACCTGTCTAGTGGCATAATGGACTCATTGAAGTTACCCAAGATTCATCATTCCATCAGGTAAAAGGCCGGGAAGACATGAATGAACACTGCTTAAATAAGGGAGTTTTGTTTAAAGTTGCACTGAAAATAAATTACTGCTCAGAGATGGATGTCAGAGATGGATAAGTAATTCAGAAGTATCCTGTGACAGACTACCTTGATTTACTTATGGTTGTTGGTTTTGGTCTATATTTGTGCCTCCATAATTGGTGATCTCTTACACCAACGGATAAAGTGTCTTCTTATAGTCTACTGAACAGAACTCTACTGAAACATTCCTGGTAAACCCCAGGGAGTAACGTCACATATACACTGTATTCTTATAAAAATTGCTACAGCAGCTCATTTCATATAATCTTGTCACATTGATCCTGTCCTTTTGTTCCTAGCATTTTTGAGAACGCCTGAGCAAAAAAATAAGAAGCCTGTAGCCTTTCATAGATTTATATTCTTAAGTTTAATTTCCATAGCACATCAATTCAGTGGTTAATAGTAATAATACATTTTGGGGGGGGGTAATGGCCTATCTATTGATTTAGAGAAACTACTCACATGTTACGGACAGAAAAATATTTATGTTTACTTTTCATTTTCTTAATACTGATGCTAATTCACTTTTGGATCTTTATGTTTGGGTCAAATGCTAGGAGAACCTACATATAATGAAGAAACCTAGGTGGTTGGAGGTGGGAGAGGGAGATGGAGAAGAACTTGGGTGAAGGCAAACCAGGAGGAGAGGGTTCCCATGAGAGCCAGTTTTTTGTCAGCCTTTCTTAGGAAATTTTTGAAGTTGATTTCTCCTGTGATGTGCTAGACTTGTCTTTTATCTAAAGATGGGTTTTTTCAGGCTGTCCATGTTTTTTTCAGGCATTCAGTGATATTGCCAAAAATATTTAGGCTGATAATCAAAAGGGCCTCGACCTCTTTGATTAACAGGATGTAGATTCCAGTGAGATAGTTATTTTCCACAAAATGCTCCTCAGCTTCTGTATAATTATAGTTTGCTTTTGATGGCACATTTTGTCCTTAAATTCTTTGAACACACTCTGCCTCTCTCACCTCAGCCTCCCCGCCTGCTGCTGGCTCCCCTCCACCTTTTGGGGGATGAAGAGTGAATGGAAGTCTGTATCTTCAGGATAGGAGATGTGGGTGTGGTGTTGTCCCTGAAATCCGGACCAGTGTTTTCCAACTGGTGGTGTTGTCACAATTTTTGAAAGAATATTTTTGCTCCAGGATAATCTTTTACTTACAGAAAAGTAGCAAAGATTGTACACGGAGCTTTGTACACTCCTTACCCACTTTCTCCTAACGTTAGCATTTTACATGGGACATTTGGCAAAACCAAGAAATCAGCACAAGTAAATTCTTTTTAGTTAAGCTGTAGATATTGTTTGAATTTTACTAGTTTCTTCACTCATATCCCATTTCTGGTATGAATCCAATTCGTGGACATTGTCTTTAACACAGAATCCTGTAATGGTAGAATTTTGGTTGTACAACATAGTAGTACAGTGGTATGGTAAAGATAGAAAACAGTAGTGAATGTGTCTATTGCCACAGTATAAAAATTGTCTCCCAGCCTCTGTGGGAACATCCACATAGAGTTTCTTAGCTAGTCAAAGTTGGTTGGGGTCAGGGATTTAGCTCAGTGGTTCTGCTGCCTGGCTGGCAAACACAGGTCCCAATTTTGATCTCTGGTACCAAAAAACGAAACAAAACTTAACGTTGGAGTTGGACCCATTACTTCCTGGACTATGCTCTGGTCCATATCGATGGAACGAAATACTCTGGTGTTCCTGCATACATGCAACCCTGCTTTCACTTTTAGTTAACATCATACTATTTACTTTATAGCATATTGTGAGCAAGTGAGATCTCCCCCAGACTGAGGACAAATGCTAACTTGATATTAAGGACACACTACAGGATCCACTTCAAAGAGCAGTCTTCTATATTTCAGTTTCACCTCCTAGTCCTCTAGGGTGATTCTGAAGTAGAGTTTCAAGAACTCAAAAAAGCAGATCCATAGCTGAGTTTCTGAAGAGTTTGTGAAGCTCGTATCATTTTTGTCCATATTTACCAAGGTACCTGAGATATCCTACACTTGATTTTTGGAAATACCAGCAGGGGTGCTCCCAACTGTGTTCAAAAACTGGGGTAAATTTCCCACCCACGGTAGGCAAAGAGCTAAATATAGGTATCAGAGTTTATAAGAATAAAAAATGCCTAAAGTAGTGTAATATTAACAGTGACTTCTGCAGGTAGCACTGTAAAGCCCCAACACAAGGAATCCTCAAAACCTATCTTTCACCATCTTAAAGATGAGGAAATTGAAGCTCAGAGAAGTTTAGTGGGCCATGTAAAGTTTGCATAGATACACATTGCTGGAACTGGGATTGAAATTGATCCAGTCAGGCTCCAAGATCTGTATGGTCTGTCTTGTGGTGCAGGTCTTTGCAGAAAATGTCTACGTTCTGTTGGAAGCAGGCATTACTGAAGGCTACGATAAGTGAATGGAGGTATCCATTGACACTTTAGAAAAGAGGTCCGTTTCCCAAATGTGTATCTAACTTACCATCCTGTCAGGTGCCTTTTCTTAGGAGGACAAGCATTTATGGAGCCCTTGCAGTGTGGCAGGCACTGTGCTAAGAGCTTTGAATATATTGGTTCATTTAGTACTCAGGACACCTCTCCTATAGCCGAGCCTGCTTTTGCTCACATCATGTAGCGCCCAAGCCTTTTGAATCAGCTGGCCTCTTCCCTTCAGCCTGATTGCTGATTCTTACCCGATTGCTATCTCCTTCGAGAGGCCTTCCTTGATTATCTCTGGCCCACACGTCACCAGCTGCTCCCCATTTCTCCAGAATGTTCTTTACAACATTTTGCTTCCTCTACAATTATATATTCATTATTTTGTCTCTGCCTCTTCCACGATAGTGTAAACTCCATGGGGAAAAAGTCTTGTATTGTCACAGATGTTCACCCACACCAGGAACAGGGTTGGCGTGTGGCAGCATCTCCATAAACCTATGGGAGAGGTACCATTATTTCCATTTTATGAACAAGAAAACTGAGATTCATGGAAATGAAAGAGCTCATCTACTGTGATGGCAGAGATTT